CACCACTTCAACAATACTTAAATACAGTAGGCTCCAGGGAAAACTAGTGCATGGAGCTGAACCGAATTGCACAGGATAACTAAATGAGCAGTTATTGAATTGAAAGGAAAAAGAATTCCTGGGTGTTATACAAATCTAACTTACAACCTTTGTTAGCAGAATGAATGGCTGAGAGAGCAAGCAAGACTGGGCTGGGACTACTGCAGAGTTTATAAGTTTCATAGGAATTTCAGCTTCAAGTGTACTACCACTTTATTTACTGAAATCCAAAATGACTTTTTTTCCTCATTCAACATAGGAGGGCGAGGGGCGAGTCCCTCATCTTGGATTTGATTACAAGGTGGAGGGTGGTGGCATGTGGCTGCTGTAGCTTCAGGTTGGGTGTGAAGTCTGAGCCACAGCAACTGCCTGCCCCCCACAGCTGTTTACTCCCTGGTGCCTGCCCTCACCAACCTCTGCTGCCATCCTCCCCTCTCCCCCCTTTGTTTAGTGCCAGTTGTGACTCTAGCCCCATTCGGGCACAGAGCACATGGTAGCTCTGTCCCTGGTCTGGCCACACAGAAGTGGCAACTATGGCAGTAGCTCCAGCATCCCAAAACCAGAATGACTGCTACTGCAACACCTCTGATGTGTGTCCTCATAAGGGGCAGAGCTACCATGTGCTTCATATCCCAGGCTGGAATGGGGCCAGAGCCATAACTGACAGTAAGCAGTGTGGGGGAAGAGGCTGCATGGGGGCTGGGGGGGGGACAGAGTCTGCAGGGGGTAGGAGAGTAGAGGCTGGAAGAGGTAGAGGGTACAGGGAGGAAGGCAGGGAAGGAGAGGTTGTGCAGGGGGGGCAGAGACTGCAGGGGTGCAGGTACTGCGAGAAGACAGGTGCAAGGGGGTACAGGCATTGGGGGCAGGCATAGGGGGAGGAAGAAGAGGGTGCAGGCATCACAGTGGAGCAGGCAACAGGGGGTCAAAGGTGGGAAGAAGGGGTGGGGTTCAGGGTGCTTGCCTGCCCTCCTGCCTGCCTGCTTTCCCTACTGTGACAGTGGGGGAGGATGAATTTAAGACTGCTTTCCAATAATTAGGTTCTGTTCATGGAAAATTATAACAATATATACATTTTCCATTTATAGAATATAATTATTGTGGGGTCATCCTAAATTTGAAGTCATCTTGGATTTGGGTAAATAGTCTATTTGTTCATTTTTTAAAATATGTCATAATTTTATCTTTTGCTTTCAGTCCAGAAAAGGCCTTAAAAGATTCACTGCAATCATATGAAGCTGCTTATTTATCAAAGTCTTTATCACGACTCTTTGACCCTATCAACCTTGTCTTTCCTCCTGGGGGTCGTAATCCTCCTTCTTCAGATGAGCTTGACAGCATTGTTAAAACTATAGCAAGGTATGTGGTTATAATAAATTGCAACACGGTCTGCAACATTTCTTTTTTTCTCTCTTACATTATAATTTTGGAAATGAAGCTTCATTAAATGTTTGATTCCTCTTTAATTATATGAGCAATTAGCACTGAAATTAAATCAGGGCATATCTCTGAGATTTGTTGTGGAAGTATAACTCTGAAATATTCATATAGGATCTGCTCTCCTACCAACTTGTACACGATGACAGGTTCCAATAGTTGTGCTTAAAAACAAGAAAATAGAGAAATTGTAAATATAGTGTAAATGTATTACATCTTAAGTCTGACTGTGGTAAAAGGAAGATGCTATTCACTCGGCTGTGTGCTATACTCCTTAATTAAAATAATCTGTTGCATGGGATGAAAAGCCAAGAAGAATGAAGAAGAATATCCTATTTGGAAAGAGTAACTTGAAATGTTTAAATCACAAATGAAATATTTTTACTTATGCCTGACTTTTAGTACTTTGCCCATGTAGCAAGCACTCTCACCATAAGCAGGATGATAAGGAAACCTTTTCTGCAAATTACTGGTTGTATTCCCAGTGTGGGAGATGCTGAACCCCTACAGCTCTCTTTACTTGCAGAAGGAATTACAAGTGATGGGCATTCCTCAGGTTTGGTTTACATTGTTTATATTTATGGGTCCTGATCTGGTAGGAAAAATCTTATGATTATTCCTTCTCTGTGTCTCTTGGCAAACTCTCTTGCTAGTGATAGCTGGAGCCTGGTAAAGTTCTCATACAATGACACTTCCCACTTGTAGGGATCCTGACATCTTCCTTGGCATTTGGAGGTGGTTTACTTTCCCCTACCTCTGGTAGCACTGGGTTTTAATGCTGCTTGGAGAACCACCATAATTTTGCCCCCAAGAGTGGTATGGAGGAGTCATAGCATGTCCTATTCACAGGGATCCCAAAGAAGTGTTTTGGGCTTTACACTGTTGTTTCCTTCAGTTTGTTCCTTTGTCCCTTTTGGGATCTCTAGTGTTCTATGTCATGCCTACTAGCTGGGACGAACTAAGGTACCCTCACATGGTTTACTCCCATAATCCTAACTTAGAGTGAGTAGGTACTTCCCTCAGTGGCAGCAGTAGCAAGCAGGTCCTGCTAGCCAGATAGTTAATTGAAGTCAGTGTTTTGAACCCAGTCCAACTACTATAAGTAAGATGATTTAGCTTGTAAGCTATGGTCCCAAGGATACCCAACATGCACTATTTATCAACAGAAACACTCAGCACATGAAATTCCTGAAGTGACTCCTTAGCCTATAAATTGAACTATTGCATCTCAGAGGTTTGGTTCTATGTGCTACTCCTCTCTAGGTTGACCTACTTACAAGGTATTAATAGTTAATTCATTAAAATAATAGTACTCTTTAATTTTAATTAAGATTTCTAATCTTTGTTTTCAGTGAGCTAAATGTTGCTGCTGTTGATCCAAATCTCACATTAGCAGTATCAAAAAATGTGGCAAAAACCATACAGCTCTTTGGAGTGAAGTCTGAGCAGCTTGTAAGTAATTGTAAATATCTAAATACATTTATTTTTATATATGAAATGTTTCTTACTTTATTAGTCTATGACGAAAACAGTGGTGAAATCCTGGAAGATAAAGCTATTGAATCAACTTCCTATTGCATTGCCATTTCGTTGAGTTAAATTCTGCTTTAGGTGATCTCTATGACTGTTGTGTGATTTTCATATTTGTAACGGAGGGTAGCACATGCCCTATAAATCAAAATTTCAAGGTTCTAGTTGTTGTGAAGTAGAACTAAGATATTTAAATTAAGGGTAATAAGTGTTAGCATTTAATGGTCCATCCATTACAGAATACCTCTTACATATTGTATTAAAATACCTAATACATGTAAATAAAATTTTCAGTCCTTATTTTGATCAAGGTTTTTGGTACATTCTTCCACAACTATATACTCAAGTGACAATTTGTTTTGGGCTTTTTTACTTTCATCTCACACACTTCCATCCATTTGCCATGCACTGTTACCTACTGTGAAATTGAATAGGAGTTGAGCAGCAAGAAGCTAACACTGGGAAGTGCAGTGATTGGAATCATAAAGGGAAAATTTAGGTTTAAAATACAATATTTTCCAGTGCACTCTGATGTCAGCATTGTTATGCTTTTATTGATAAACTCCAATTTAAATAAAAAAATAAAGCTACTTCTTAGAATGTGAAAACTGTTTATGCTTTTTGGAAATGACAGTTTAGGTTACTACTAACACATGGTGAGATACTTACTTTCTTAAATAGCTCTATTTCCAATCAGATTTTACTCATATTCAAATATTTACGTTATTGAGGGGTTTGTTTAACTTCCAGGTATAATTTACCTGTTGAAGTGCAATGAGAGATACTTTGCTTCCAAGTGACCATTCCTGTTGAATAATTTATATAAGAATTGCCCAAACTGTGGTTTGCAAAACATCTGGGACCTATGGAAAGGGGAGTAGGAAAAGGTCCATGAAACCTCATGCAAAATATGTATACATCTGAAAATAAGTATTCATAAATTAAGGGGAGTGATTGTCAGCCAACGTGCAACAAAATGTTTTAAAGATGCTGTGGAGCACCACACAATGTTAGCATTGTTAGGTATGTAAACATGATTCACATAAACCCAGATATATCAAATAGGAATCTATAATGTTAAAAACATTCCGACCTGTTGTAGTCTGTCTGGCTTCTTTGTAACAAAAGAATTGCTCTATTATTTTTCCAAAGTCAAAAAATGAACAAAAATGGCATTTCCTTGAGTCTAATGAGGAATGTCTCGACTCTAAAAAAAAGTTAAAAACCACTGAGAGCAGTAGCTTTCAACTTGTGATCTGCAGACTTCTTAGGGTCTACAGACTGTGTCTAAGGGACCTGCAAAAGATGACTATGATCAATCAAAAGCAAGTGAATTGCCACACTTACTATTCAAAGGGGTCCACATCTCCACTCAAAATTTCCAAAGGGGTTTGCAGCTCCATTAAAAAATAATTAGGGATCCGCAAAGGAAAAAAGGTTGAAAACCACTGGATTAGAGGACTGATGATGACAAAAAGACATTCTCAGCAAAATTTTGTATGTTCTGTAAATAAACATTGTGGAGAACATTTTCAAAAAGGTGCTAAATCCAGATGTGCCAAGGAAGTTTCATTCTATTTTAACTTTACAGGGCACTAACTATCACTCATATGAGGTCCTGGGGAAATTCTTTGAGAAAATTATCCAGGAGCACGTTAGTGAGGGACCAGCAGGGGAGATTATGCTCAGGGGCAGCCAACATGGGTTCGTTATGGGCAGGTCCTGTCAGACCAACCTGATTGCCTTTTACGATCAGGTCACAAAATCCTTGGACGCAGGTGTCGTGGTGGTCACAAATTGGCTAGAGGGCCACACCCAGAGAGTGGTGGTGGATGGGTCATTTTCGACTTGGAGGGATGTGGGCAGTAGAGTCCCCCAGGGCTCTATCCTCAGGCCTGTACTGTTCAACATCTTTATCAGTGACTTGGACAAGGGGGTGAAAAACACCTTGTTCAAATTCGTGGATGACACTAAGATGTGGGGAGAGGTGGGCATGCTAGAAGGGAGAGACAGGCTACAACTAATTCTGGACAGGTTACAGGGGTGGGTGGATAAGAATAGGATGGGATTCAATACTGACAAGTGCAGGGTACTGCACCAAAGAAGAAAGAACCGGCACTATACCTATAGGCTGGGGAACTCCCTTCTTGTCAGCACAGAGGCAGAAAGGGATCTTGGAGTCATTATTGACTCCAAGATGAACATGGGCTGCCACTGTGAGGACGCGATCAGGAAGGCTAACTGTACCTTGTCATGCATCCACAGATGCATCATAAACAGGTCCAAGGAGGTGATCCTCCCCCTCTATGCAACATTGGTCAGGCTGCAGTTGGAGTACTGCTTCCAGTTCTGGGCGCTGCACTTCAGGAAGGATGTGGCCAGCATTGAGAGGGTCCAGAGGAGAGCCACTCGCATGGTCAGGGGGCAGCAAGACGGGCCCTACTAGGAGAGGCTACGGGACCTGAACCTGTTCAGCCTCCACAAGAGAAGGCTGAGGGGGGATCTGGTGGCCACCTATAAACTTACCAGGGTGACCAGCAGGGAACGGGAGAGGCCCTGTTCCCCCAAGCACTAGCCGAAGTAACTAGGAATAATGGCCACAAGTTGATTGAGAGTAGGTTCAAGCTAGACATCAAGAGGCACTACTTCAGAGTCAGGGTGGTTAGGATCTGGAACCAATTTCCAAGAGAAGTGGGGCCCGCTCCTACCTTAGGGGTCTTCAAAAGGAGGCTGGATAATCACCTAGCCGGGGTCATTTGATCCCAGCATTCTTTCCTGCCCAAGACAGGAGGTCGGTCTTGATGATCTACTCAGGTGCCTTCCGACCCTATCAACTATGAAACTATGAGGTTTTGTCAAGAGACACAAAGGAAAAAAGTCTCATAAGAGTTTTCTTATCCTTTCCCTATATCCTTGGCTGGATGGGACCTCCCGGCCAATAAATGTAAGCATCTGGACTTGAGGAAATATTCAAAGCATTTCCCATAGTACATGTGAAATTAAAAGTTCTCAACCTTTTCAGACTCTTTGCCTTGAGTCCAAAAGGACAAGAACCACTGATTTAGGGTATGGACACATAACACACTTAACCTTGGGGTAATTTGACTTCATTCCAAGGTAGAAGAGGAGTAGACACACAACATGACATCTTGTACTGGTGTAAGTCATTCAATTAAACTGAAAGGCCAGACACATCAGCTATAATTACTAGGGGCACTGTAAGCCTCCCAGGACCATACGGCATTTTTACACATGCTTTGGGGGTGGAGTATTATAATTAGAGCAGCTCTTGGAGCCAATCTAATTAAAGTGCCTGGAGCATCTTGTGTATCAGCATCCCCATGCTTCAAAATGGCGGCAGGGGCACTTTATCTAAAGCTTGTTGAACAAGCTTTAGTTAAAACGCCCCTGCCGCAATTTTGAAGCCCAGAGACACTGATTCATGAGACACAAAGACTGGCTAGAGCACAGTATGGACAACCCCCACTTAGCACTCTTAATTGGTTCTGGAAAAATTGAGCATTAAGCAGAACTGTACTAAGCGAAACCCATTTCCCCGTAGTATTTAATGTAAATAAATATAATTGGTTACTGCCGCTTCTTGCCACCACTGCCACATCAGCCACATGCCAGCCCAGGCCCTGCACTCCTGCTGCCCCACCCTGGGCCCCTGCTGGCTCTGGCCCTGAGGCACCAGTGTGGACCCACATGCACACTCACCGCTTCTCATTGCTATCGCTTTTCGCCCCCTGACCTGCCTGCTCGGTGCTATAGTGAAACTTGCTAAGCGCCAAGTAGAATCAGCTATGTATTTAAAATGAGCACTATAGTGAAATAGCACTAAGCAAAACTGTGTTAAGTGGGGGTTGTCTGTAATTACCATGCTCCAACAGATTTGATTAATTGAGTCTGCTCCAACACGCTGTAATTACAATCTTCTGGACCAGCCTCCCGGCTCGTGTACAAACACCCATATTGTATAAGCTGTCCAGTCTTTGTCAGAATTAATATGTAGTCATTTGGTTATTCAGAAACATGGATCATTTGGTGAAAAGTAGAGAGAGAGAAAGGAAAGAGAAAAGGAAATTCAGAAGTATACTGACAAATATATGATGCTTTTTAGATCAGCTGATTTGAAACCACACTGCATCCTGACATGGTAGCATGAAGCCTTCAAATTTGTTCTGATATTTAGCAACTGAGGATCTCTCACTAAAGGATATATCAGGAGTTTCAGGAGAGAAAACTCTGAAAAATCAAGAGACATGATTTCTCAGACTGGCAGTCTGAACATGAATACCCATTGGGCATATTATCTGGTATTTCTGCAAACACTAAGTAACACACTGTAGCCGCAGAAGACCTTAGATTATCTTACTCAAGATGCATGGTATCAAAACTTATAGGCCCTGAATCAGCTCCTCAGGATAAAACAGTGCCTTTGTCAAATACCAGTTTTGTTTCAAATTAGTGATGTAGCTAGGGATGTCATGGAGCAAAAGATTTCTTAAACCCAAGAAAAGTGACTGTGTAACATTTCCTTTTAATGATTCATCTGATGTGCTCCTAGATTTTGTAAGAGAGATGGCTCTACTAAAAAAACTGTGCAGAGACAAAAATACCACTTATGAAGAATTTCAACATGTGGCTTAGTTACAAATTGGAATGAAACCAAAAAAAAATCAAATTTTCTCATGAACG